TTGCCCTTGACATTATTAAAAAGTACAGGATTGGCAAATCAGACTGAGAAAAAAATCAGACTGTTAAATCTGGACAGGCAGGTAATCTCTCTTCATCTTATTGCAGTGCCTAGAATGATGAAGGGAGTAAGAGGACTCTTGTTTATTAAGCACCCACTATGTGCTTGGATGCTTTGCCTCTGTCAGAAGCAATCTCATATTCCAGAGTGCTGAACAATGGAGGCTGAACAAGAAAGACCAATGTCCTCAGCTTAGCTCTGCGATTTTCTAGTTGTGTGGCCTTGGGCAAGCAAGTGAATGAAGCTCTCTGTGCCTGTTTTTTTTTTTGTTTTTGTTTTTCACCTGTAAAATGAGGATACTACATATCCCACAAGATAAAGTGCCTAGTATGTTTCAGGTCCTGGACTAAAAGTAAAATAAACTTTAAGTCCAGCACCTGAAACATACTTGGCAGTCGGGGTAGGTATTATAAGGTGAATTTTAATCTGCACAACAGCCCTGTGATGAGCTGAATTGTGTCCCCCTAAAAGCTATGTTGAAGACTTAACCCCCAGTACCTGTGAATATGACCTCATTTGGAACAGGGTCTTTGCAGATGATTAAGTTAGGATGAGGTCATTAGGATGTACCCTATCCAATATGAGTGGTGTCCTTATAAAAAGGGGACATTTAGACACAGAAACAAAGCAAGAGAACACCATGTGAAGACAGAGGATTGGAATGACGCATCTGCAAGCCAAGGAACAGCAAAATTTGCCAGCAAACCACTAGAAGCTAGGAAGAGAAAAGGAAGGATTCCCCTACAGGTTTCAAAGAGATCATGGCTCTGCTGACACCTTGATTTTAAACTTCTAGCCTTCATAACTGAGAAAATAAATTTCTGTTGTTTTCGGCCACCTAGTTTGTAGTGCTTTGTTACAGCAGTCCTAGCAAACAAAAACACCCTTACATGATGAAAAAGTATCCCCATTTTCAGGAGAATTGAAGGCCAGTGAAAGTTTATGGCTCAAGATTGCACAGCCAGATCTGGGATTTGAACCCAGGTCTCTCTGAGCCTAAAGTCTGCCCTTTCTCCATTCACTGTGGGACCTCTCAGGAGTGGAGCTTGGCATAAAAAAGCAGGTGGGGTTGGAAATGAGCCCCATTCATTACACCCAGGTCCCAATGCAAGCATCAGGTCAGAGTGGTCTGATTATGAACAGCTCATTAAGTAAAGAGCAGTGAGCGTTTGAGAGTGACTTTTTAAGAAGAATCGACTTTTATTTATAGTGACGTTCCAGTCATTAATTTCAAAGGAAGAAAGCCCAAAGCAGAAGTAGGTTCATTAAAAATTTGACATTAGTAATTTAATTAAATTGGGTCTTTGCATCTCATTGCGGAAAATGAAACGTTAGTTCTACACCAGTTCTCAGCTCATTTCCCCTAGTTGGCTCCCTCCCCTCACCTTAGCTTGCTTTTTTCTCCAAATGTTTACCTGACCTGTCCTTCCCACCCCCAACACTCATAAACATGCACACATCACTGTTATCGCCTCTGCTGTAAGCCAGCTGCATGGGATTATGGGAAACGCCAAGTGAACCAGCAGCAGGGCATCATGGGAAATGCCAAGTGAACCAGCAGCAGGGGACTGATCATAGAATATGCTAAATAAGCCAGGAGCATGGGATCATGGGATACATCAAGTAAGCCAGCTGCAGGGGATCATGGGAAATACCAAGTAAGCCAGTAGTGTGAGATCCTGGGAAATGTTAAGTAAGCCAGCAACAGTACAGGATCATGGGAAACACCAAGTAAGTCAGCAGCAGATCATGGGAAGTATCAAGTAAGCCAGCAGCATGGGATCATGGGAAATGCCAAGTAAACCAGCAGCATGGCATCATGGGAAATGCCAAGTAAGCCAGCAGCAAGAGATCATGGAAAGTACCAACTAAGCCAGCAGCATGGGATCATGGGAAATGCCAAGTACGTCAGCAGCAAGGGATCATGGGAAATGCCAAGTAAGGCAGCAGCAGGACAGGATCATGGGAAATACCAAGTAGGTCAGCAGTAGGGGATCATGGGAAGTACCAAGTAAGCCAACAGCAAGATATCATGGGAAATGCCAAGTAAGCCAGCAACAGGAAATCATAGGAAATGCCAAGTGGCAGGGGATCATGAGAAATGCCAAGTAAGCCAGCACTGTGGGATCATGGGAAAAGCCAAGTAAGCCAACAGCAGGGGATCATGTGAAATGCCAAGTAAGCCAGCACTGTGGGATCATGGGAAATACCAAGTAATCCAGCAGCAGTACAGGATCATGGGAAACACCAGGTAAGTCAGCAGCAGGAGATCATGGGAAGTACCAAGTAAGCCAACAGCAGGGGATCATAGGAAATGCCAAGTAAGCCAGGAACATGGGATCATGGGAAATGCCAAGTAAGCCAGCAACATGGGATCATAGGGAATGCCAAGTAAACCAGCAGCAGGGGATCATGGGAAATGCCAAGTAAGCCAGCAGCATGAGATCATGGGAAATACCAAGTAAGTCAGCAACATGGGATCATGGGAAATGCCAAGTAAGCCAGCAGCAAGGGATCATGGGAAATGCCAAGTAAGCCAGCAGCAATATAGGATCATGGGAAACACCAAGCAAGCCAGCAGCAAGGGAATATGATAAATGCTAAGTAAGCCAGCAACACAGGATCATGGGAAATGCTAAGTAAACTAGCAGTGTGGGATCATGGGAAATGCTAAGCTGGGCCAATGGACAGGGCAATAGAGATAAATCTTTTCATCTAGGTCATCTCGCTTGTCACAGGTAAAGAATGGGCAAGGGAGAGCTCTTCAGTCTTTAAGATTCACTCCCACAAAAGCATAAGCCTCTGAGGGCTGGCCCTACTGTGCCAAGCACAGAAAGCCCATGATGAATTTTGTTGCATGAAGGAATTAATACATGAATGAGTAACTCCCCAAATAACTAATTAATGAACATGCACATATGTCCCTACAAGTGCCAGGCACTGTGCTAGTCTCCCAGGATATACCTGTGAACCAGACTAGGCCCATGCCCTCATGGCCCTGTGGCCCAATGGAATGAGGACATCTGCCATTTTGTGAGCACCTACTATGTTCTGGGCATTGTGCCAGGCATGTGGCATTTATATTGGTAACCCCCTCAACCACTAAATATTTTTGGCCTCACTCCTTTCTCAGTTGAAGAAACTAAGGCTCAGAGAGTTCATGTGGCTCAAAGTCACACAGAATAAGACACGATGGCACCTGGTTTCACACCCAGATCAGGCTGGTTCCAAAGTCTACCGTTACCCTCTACACTGAACTGTTTCCTCTCAGAAGAGGGAGAGAGGAACAGGGAGGGAATACCTTTTTTCAGAGGGTTCTGAGATCATCAGGGCTGGTAGATAGGGTTCTGGAAAGAAGATACTAACAGCAACATTGGCAGGAAGCGGGTATTGCAAGGACTAGGGGAGCCATTTAGAGTCCAGACCTGCCCACTTCCACTTCCCCATCACTGCCACCCCACTCTTTTACTCCAGGCTCCCTCAGCTTCTGGGTTATCTCTGGCCTCAGGGCCTTTGCACATGCTGTTTGCTCTTTTTTGTTTAGCTAAGTCTTACTAATCTCCCAGGGTTCTGCAGAGTTGTCACTTTCTCCAGGAAGTGATCTCTGACCTCTCCCCCAGGTGGGTTTAGTTCCTTACCTGTCCCTGTCCCATCATAACACTTAGTATGCAATTAATTGTGCACATCACCCGCCGGACTGAGACTTAGATTCATTGTGTTGTACTCACTGTACATCAGGCTCTGTCCTAAGCACTTTGCATTCCTCAACTGGCTTAATTCTTGCAACAATTAATTTGATATAAGGAAGGTGCTGTTGAGCTCCCTATCTTACAAATGAGGAAACCGAAGTGCAAAAAGGTTAAAAGACTTGCTCACGGTCCCACGGGTGGTAAGATGTCAGGCTGGGAAGTGAACCCAAGCACAGTGGCTTCCAAGTCTGCACTTTCCACCATCTGGCTGCACGGCCTCTCAGAGAGAGCCTCAATAAATCATTGCCAGGTGGATTAATGGAGAGGTACTTAAACGGTAGTCTGGGCATGACTAAGACCCCTACTCCTCACCCCATGGGGATATCCTAGAATGATAGGAAGTGTTGACCTTTAAGGCACAGGCAGTTCCAACTCTGGGGGACAAGGCAGAGGGCAGGGGGAGCTGGGTCAGGTGGGACAGGTGACTGACTTATGGGCACAGAGAAGCTGTATCCTCCTCCCTCCTTATTGCCAGGTCGTGGTGCTCTTGCATCTTCCCCAAGACTATTTCCTCTGCCTCATGAGAGCACACTTGCAGGTGACCATGATTGCTTGGCTCTGGCCACACACTGTGCATGCTGTTCCCTGGCTCCCAATTTTCCCCCTTTAAACCAGTCAGGCTGATGAGAACCCGGGCTCTTATCTTCCCACTTCACTGCCTATTCTGTCTAATCCAACCCTTTCAACTCCCCTGAACCTGCGGGGCCAAAGTGCCCCTCTAGCTGCCAGGGTGGATCACACATGAAAGAAAGGACACTGGATTTAATGAGCACCTACTCTTATGCCATGCCTTATGTCCCTTCTATGGTATTTAGTGAGAAGGAGTGTGGAGTCTGAAATCAGGCCAGCCATGCCCAAGAGATTAAAGTGATATTCCTGGGATTGCATCTCTAGTGATCAGGATGGACATAATTCACATCCATGGCTACACATTAGAAAAGGCAAGAAACCTGGACGTCCAATTGTAAATCTCATGTGTGAGATTTTGAGTAACTCCTCTCTCTTCTGAGTAACCCGTTCTCAGGGAATCCACAGCCTTGAGAAGCGGGCAGATCAGCAGTGGGCAATGCTGTTCACAGAAGAAATGAGTTCCAGGAAGCCCAAGTGACCTAGGGAGATGCTACCAGAAAACCGGGCAGGGCTCCAGCCCAACTCACAGGCTACCTGTCTCTTTCTCTGTCTCTCCTCACAGTTCTCCCCAGCCACACATGTGGGAACCCAGGGAGGCTGCCCAATGGCATCCAGCAGGGCTCAACCTTCAACCTCGGTGACAAGGTCCGCTACAGCTGCAACCCTGGCTTCTTCCTGGAGGGCCACGCCGTGCTCACCTGCCACGCTGGCTCTGAGAACAGCGCCACGTGGGACTTCCCCTTGCCTTCCTGCAGAGGTAGGTGGCCAGAGAGGGGTGTGACGGAGTGGGGCAGTGGCTGGGAGGGGATGCTGGAGCTTCCAGTGACATCCAGTCTCGAAGGGGAAAGCTACGCCCCAGCAGGGAGAGAGGTGCCGAAGTCTGGACAGCACAGAGGGTCTTCAGGGGCCCCAGATGTTCTAGGGGTGTTTCAGCCTCACCTGACCTCCTCACCCTCAGGTGTGCGCTCCCTCATTTTTTCTCCTGCATCAACAAACTTAGATGTAGCCAGTCTTCCCTCACCTCTAGCCCTCCTGTCTCAGAAGAAACATCATTTCGCTTCCTATTGCAGACCCTCTCTCCTCTTGTGGAAGCCAGATCACTTTCCCAACAGCTTTTGTACTCACCTCACTGTAGGAATTATTCTTTTCTCTTTCCTATAAATTCAGCCTCTCTCCCTATCTAATAGTTTCTTCCTCTCAGCTTCCAAATATGCTCAAAATCTCTTTTCTGCAAGAACCCTCTCCCCTAGAAAAACACCTCTCGTCTATGCCTCAGCCTCCCAGCTAGGATGACCAACTTGTCCATATTTGCGTAGGACCTTCCGACTTTCAGTCCTGAAAGTTCCGCATCCTGGAAACCCTCTCAGTTTCAGGCAACAGAGACGTTTGTCACCCTACTCCCAGCCTATTCCTTACACAATCTTTTTTTTTTTTCCTCTTCCTTTTCTTTTCTTTTTTCTTTTTTCTTTTTCTTTTTCTTTTCTTTCTTTCTTTTTTTTTTTTTTTTATTTGAGACAGGATCTTCCTCTGTCCTCCGTGCTGGAGTGCAGTGACATAATCATGGCTCACTGCAGCCTCCAATTCCTGGGATCAGGCGATCCTCCTGCCTTAGCCTCTGGAGTTGCGGGGACCACAGGCATGTATTACCATGCCCGGCTAATTTTTGTTGTTGTTGTTGTTGTTTTCATGGAGACAGTCTCTCTATGTTGCCCAGGCTGGTCTTGAACTCCTGAGCTCAAATAATCCTCAGGCCTTGGCATCCCAAAGTGCTGAGATTATAGGCATAAGTCACCATACCTGGCACATGATCATTTTTAAAAGCTTAGGAAATACAGAAGGAAATAAAGAAGAAAGAAAATTTACCTGTTTTAACCATGATTTTAATGTATTTCCTTTCCATCTTCTTCCAATACATATGGCACATAAGCATATATTACAAATATGTACGTAAATTGAGATTATGATGCATGCAGACAATTTTTAGCCACCTTTGAAAAACAATCACATCACACTGTAAGATTTCCCATGCCATCTACATAGCCCAGCATCTTCAAAGCTCCATCCAGCCCTGTCCCTCCTTTTCCCTTCTCATTTGCTCCTCTGCAGACTGGCCTTTGCCCTCAGTATTTGCATCATTTTGCCAAATCAGATGGGAATTGTTTTGGCTCTTATATTTCTTGACCTCTTAAGAAACCTTTGCACTATTGACCGCTCTTTTCTTCTAGTAACGCTCATCTCTAAATTCCATGGATCCTGAACATCCATGTATCAGTCTAGGAGGAACATTTCCAGGAGTTGAGAAGTCATTGGAATAAGTAGGTCCTCCTTAGTTCAAGTTTTACTTTTCTTTTGGAGGAAGGTTTTTCTGTAATTACTATAGAAGGCTAGCTCCAGGGATAAGCAACTCCCTCTTCCTGCCACATGCACACACTTGGTTATTGACACCAAGGATAAAAATTACATGGCATGTATGCCTATTTCCCTTCTTCCCACTCCCATGGCGGACATAATTGGTCATTGCACCCTTTCTGCTTGAGTCCAGACACAGCTGTGAATTCCCTCCCGATAGGCAAGCCACAGCCAATCAATCTGAATTGCCACTTGACTTCACCTTTGTTTCCCTCTCCTCAACCAATAGAATGGGCCTTGGCCATGTTGAGCTTTCTTGGTGGAGGGCAAGGGAACTAGAGTTCCCTTTCCTGATTTCCTAAGTCCCATCTTCCCAGGCTCCATTCCTAACTCAGGGCCTCCCTCTTTCCATGATTGACTTCAGGAATTACCAAACCAATCAGGTGAGACCTTGGCCCCTACACGCAGGTGTGTGGCCTAACCACAGCCTGAAAGCTGCTGTATCTGCCCTTTCTTATAGCATCCTTACCCACCCCCGCCTTGAGGAAGTTACAGTTAACATTCTGATCTTCCAAGGAGGGTGTCAGAGTTGTGAAATGACGATAGAACTGACATATGATAGTAAATAAAATCAAGTGTCTAAGTTATGAAATATAAACTGCAGTTCTTTTTATTTTTGCAGCACTGTAAATGTCATGCTATTTTGTTCAAGATAAAATCCAAAAACAAATGTAATCCAATTATCGGATGCAGTGGGGGTATCGCTCTGCTTAGTGAAGTATAATTTGCAGCAATATCCCATGCTAATATGGTGGAAATCCACTAACCCTCCTAATATCTCCAGGAATCTGTCAGCTTTAGCTTCCTCTGGACCTTGAACTCACTACCATGTCTCCCTTCCCCTGGTTCTGCTCTGCCAACTTAGGTTGGGAACTGGGTCCATTTTTCTTGGATCCCCCGCTTCTCCAAAAGACAAAATACAAGCCAACAAGCAAAAACGCCAATGAAGGCGTCTGCATGTAGTTCAGGCTTTATGGAAGCTGTAGCAATGCAAGGAGCTTACATCTTAGCAACGCAGATGACTTAAAATGAAAGTATGAGCAACCAGGAGCCTCACAGTCTTTTGGCCCCTCCTCCCGGGAAGCTTCTCCCTGGCTTCTGTCTTGGCAGACTCCAGGTTCCCCTGTAATGTGCATTGTACCCTCTCTTCTTTCTCCAGCCTCTTCCACCTTGGTGCCGCCTGCACCTTGAGCCCATTTCAGAATTTCCACCAACCTCTTAGGCACAAGAGCCTGATTTCCTCTTGGTTTTGTCATCTCCTTGCAGTCTAATGTCTCCCCTCCTCATCCAAGCTATTTAGGTATAGGGTAGTATTTTCCTGAACAAAGAGAACTCTCATTCTATAAGAAACTCTGGGGCTGGAGGTTAACGTATCTTTTTGTTACCCCATCAGCCAGAGATAAGTGATGATGAGGGGCACCTCATGGAGGTCTTCTACCTCTTGGAGGTCTTCTAGGTCTGACCAAGGCTCACAACCCAGTGTCTTTGTGTCCAGGCCCAGCAGGCAGCAAGGGCTGGCCTTTCTGTGGGAAGGAGCAGGGTGGAGAGATACCACTCTTCTAGCATTCACACCACACAGAAATTCATGGGCCTGGGCGGAGGTGGCATGTCTTTTGGTGGCACGACTCTCTGAAGTCTTCCAGTTCTTTTTTCGTCTTCTGAAATGATGATGATTCTTTCCCTCCTTCTCCTTCACTGACTTTCCACCCTCCTTTCCCTTAAATACGGGAGGGCCAAGCGTGGCCTCTTCTCGGGGGACTTCTTCCATCTCTTGAAATTTCTCATCTACTATGTTGCTGTAATTGTTACTAGGGGGCAACTCTCCAATCCCCACCTCCAACCCCATTCTCTGTCCTGAGCTTCAGGCCCGCGTGGATAGTGAACTGTGCTGAAGTTCTCCTCAGCTTGTGTTTCAAACTTGGCCCATGAAAACCTCTCTCTTCCTGCTTTCCCCAAACCTGCTCTTTTTGCTGTCTTCTCCAGCTCAGCGAAGAGTGTCCCCCACCAACAGTGGCCAAGCCAGACCCCTCAGGGCACCTTACACTCTTGCTTTTCTTGCTGTTCACATCGCTTCATTGGCCCCCATGTCCCTCTGCACCAGCCCACTCCCTCCACATCTCTGTCGCTCTTCAGATGGTGGTCCAGGCCCTCTTGTCTCTCACTTGCCTCACTGAAGGTTGACCCTCTGTAGGCAGGTGTGCCCCTGTTCTCTCCTGCTCACACCAGCCCATTCCTACCTGTATTGCTAGGGAGAACTTTCTAAGGCACAGATCTGACAAAACTAAGTGGCTCAGTCTCTTAGTAGCTCTTCATCACTGACAGGGTCTAGTTCAGATTCTTTAGCATGGAGCACAAGGCTCTTCCAGAAAGAGTCCCACCCCAATCTTTCTAGTCTGTCTTTTAGACTTATTTTAAGTAGCTTCCACTTTAGCCATACCAGAGAATGCTCCCTTCCAAATGCCCTAGGGAAGCCAGCTGAGGACGTCAAGTCCTGCTTCCAGAAGGGCTTCCAGCCCCCTGCTGCCTGAGGGGACTGAGATGTGGTTCTGCTCAAAGGCTGGGAGAGAATAAAATGGCTCTCCTACTCTCAGACACCCTAGGGCCTCCCCCCACCCCCAGCCACCTCCCTACTTTCAGGTTCATCTCTCTATTCTAATTCCCACAGGCTACAAGAATATCCTAAGAAACATCCTCAATAATGTCAGTGATTTTACGAAAGTGATTTCCCAAACCCTTCTTCCTTAGGAGGCCAAGCTAAACAGGAACAAAGAGTACCCACCATACACCCATCCTGTGCCAGCAGCGGTGGTCATGCCAGAGTGAACGGGTTCATACTTGGGAAGCATTAAAAGCCTTTTGGCCTTTCTTCCTCTCATGTAGAACTCTCAAGAGCTGGCATCTGCGAGCGGATAAACCTCATCCACTGGGCAGTGGTCCGTAAATATTTGCTGAATGACAGGCTGTCTGGATGGGTCTAATTCACCATCAGAATCGTGCTGGCATACAAGCCCGAAAGGGAAATTACTAGCCTGGGTTACCCCACCTGCCCAGTAGCTCTGAATGACAATCTCTTTAAGCCCAAAGCTTCCCAGAGCAGACTGGAGAGTCGTATGTGTCTGTTTTATCTAGGAAATGTCATGTGCCCAGCTGGAGGGTGGACTTGGTCTGGGGACATAGCACAGACTAGGAGTGGGGGGAATAAGGAACAGCTGGGAATAGAGGGGAGCAGGTGTGAGGCCAACCCCCAAGGAGGCCCATCCCAAAGATCCTGACCCATCAGGACTTGGTCCAGCTGACAGAGGGAAGGAGGTGGGGCCTGTGACCTCCCTTCACTTTGTGTCGCACCGG